TAGGGCAATGCAGTAATTAAGAGTTGTTAGAAAGTGAATTCTCAAACTGCAGATTAGAAAATTAAACTATTTCCTGATTACATATTAATGGAGCACAACAATAGCAGTTGCCATAAGCTTGGAAGGCAACCAAGGGATAAATCTGTGTACTTAATTACCATAAACAATGGCTGCATAGAAATGAAGTTTTATGCACATTCCCTTCTGTAATATGTCTGATATCAGTACACACTTGACAATTCTTGTTCAATTATCTCTATTATTTAATGCGCTGTGAACGGCTCTGTGTAAATAAAATTAACCACCCCAATTACTTTGAATTCATCTAGGGACAACGTAATAAAAAATGTGAAGAATTCTGTATGCCTATTAATCTAAAACATTACAGAAGCTTTCACCAGATTTTCTTGTCTATATTTATTTTGTCTACATTTATTTTAGTGTGCTGCTAATTCAATTACATTTACCATCACTGGTCAATCAGTAACAGCAGAGGGTTGGGTTGGGGTTTTTTYTTGGTATTTCATTAATCCTTATACAGTCCCACAAACATGCTCATCCACTGGTAAGGGTACAGGATCTCAGATGGAAAATACAAATGTGCTTCTGCTTGAATTTTGGAGCTCGTAGCTAATCAGAAAAACAATTAAAAACACTTCATACTCCATGGTCAGATAACAGAATATCTGATAGCTGCGTTTTTTTTTTTAAATGGTTGTTTTTGCAATTAGTGAAGAAATAGTGACCGAAAAAAAAGAGCTAAATTTAGATTAGAGATCCGTAAACTAGGCTTCTTTGTTTTTCACTTTAATTGTATTATGTGATAATTCTGCATTTTAATTGCTGCCTAGATATCGGGATGATAGACACCTTAAAACACAATGACAGCAGAATCTGCAATAGAGAAAGACACTGTCAGAAGCAGAGACAAAACTATTTATCCAGAACAGGTTAGGCACAACACGGGGAAGCAGAGTCCTGACGAAAGCCAGATAATCCTGCCACTGCCATCTTTCACCATCAAGCTATTATAACAGGGGAAAGAAGGGAAATCAGCAGTTATTAAATCAGGCGATTTTTATACTCAAGCCTACAAACGCCTCCTCTTATTTTAACCTCTGCCCCGTGCTTTCCCTAAAAGTTTGCATCCGCTGGATTTTTTTGTTATGGTATATTTTAGGAACAGCATTGCAAACCCCCTCCTGCACATGCAGCTCTTACCTGTACCCTGATAGCAAACACGGCATCAGCTCACGCAGGCTGAGCTCAGGACACTCAAACCCTGTCTGCCCTCACAGTTTTGCTACGTACCAGTAAACTACATTTTCCTGGAATAAAGGGAGATTATAAGTGCAAGAAGCAGGGACTGGTATGCCACCAGTGACAGAAAGTGCCGGGTATTAATAACAGSGTGCCTAGCCACATTCAAATGGAAATCCGCACGTGGGTAATTTTAATAACTCGTCATTTTTTCCACAYGTTGTAGGAAAGTGTTTCCAGCCAAACCCCGAGGTGCTGGGGCTGGGGATGCAAAGCTGTGCCCAGGCTGAACCTCGCTACGTGCCAGGCTTTGCAGATAGGAGCCCAGCTTGGCCAAGGGCTGCACCTCTGCTCCCCTGGTGATGCATCCCTGGACACGCAAGGGAAGGGATGATCCTCATTCCAGTCCGTGGGGACTGGGCCACAGGCTTGGTCCAAGGGCACACCTTGGCCAGGCCGTGGCGTGTGGCATTTTGGAGYGTTCGTTTGCAGTCCTAAGCACCAGAAACACTCACTAAAAAGCAAGCCGAGGGTCTAAGGGCGTTGCAGAACGCCCGGAGCTGCTGCTTCACCAGGAACGTCCTTGTCTCTACTTGCCAAAGGTGCTTCCCTTTTGGTAAAGGTCAGGAATTCTTCCACGTTTGCCCAATCGAGCACCACTACCTGCTCTTACTGCTCGTGTGTGGTAAGGAAATTCCCATTTGTCTTGGTGTCTCAATGCACAGGAGCAGGAGACGTGTTCTCCTGAAAGCTTTAGCCTCGGATGATCCCTCCTGCCGGGTGAAGAGAGGACTCTGCACTGCAGAGGATGGGGATCTGCCACACAGCCAAGAGTCTCCCCCAGAGGAGGCAACCCCAGGCTTGTGCTGGAGGAAAAGCAGAAGGAAAGAGGGAAGGGAGTTTCCTTCCCAGCAAAAGTCTACCGAGGAAGGGGGCCAAGCACAGCGGAGAGAGACAAGACATCCCAGGCAGCAGCCGACAAAGGGGGAGAGCAAACAGGGCTCCAGCATCCCCACGCACCCGGCCGACGAGGCTGGGCTGCCATCAGCACGCCAGGCACCCTGAGTCTCCTGCTCATTCCCTTCACCCTTCAGCACCGTGGTCCCCTCTGGGGAAACCGASCTGAAACCCCTGATCCCAAATGCACCCTGAAGCCAGTGGGGACACGAGGTCTCATGGATGGTGGTCAGGACAGTTCGGCGGGGCCCCTTCTCCATGGGTTGTGTGAACATGGCATCCTGCCCTGGTGGTCAGTGCAGCCTCTTGCTGGCCTAAGGCTCTCCAATATTCCAGCCCCAAGCAGTGCCAGATTAAGTAAAGAGATTTGCTTAAAAGAGAGTTTTAGATATACAACAAATCCACGTGTGGGTCCTCTCCTTTATGCTCCGCGTRCAGACTCTGTCAGCCCACGTGACCTCCTGCTTCCTAAAGCCTGCGTTTTACGGACCAAAAAAAAAAACCAAACCAGACATCAAAAGATCTTTCAGCATAAGTCCGAGAGCTGGCAACATACCGTGTTTCTCATCTTGCTGGTATGTAGCAGCAGCTAGGGGAGTATTTGCAAGCCCCCGAGATCCTCATCAACAGCCCTTGAGGGCTTTTGTAGCTGTGGGGCTGCGGTTGCTTCCTTCCCTCCGACTCCGCTTCACCGCGGCGGAGGTCTGTGCAGCGCTGGCAGGTCAGCTGCTGTTGACTCATCTTTTTGTTTGCAGCTTTATCTCGCAGACAGTCAGACTCTCAGGAGAAGACGACTTAGACCCGCGCGGACAAAGCGGAGACTACGGCGGAGGYGCAAACTGCTTGTCTGCCTGTCTCAGGAATTAGCTCCTAAGGAGAGGAGGGGAAGGGAAACAAGGGCCGCCCTAGCAAGGGGAGCCGCTAATGAGACCGGAGAGCACAGACCTGTGGCGCGACTGCAGCAGGGCCCAGAGAGGGCAGGAAAAGGAGCAGGCGGGGAAGAACTGCCAGAAAAGCCCCTCAAAGGGACAGCAAAACACATGGTGAGGCTTTTCCCACCAACAAGGTCACATCACACGAAAGCTGGTTGAATAAAAAACAATAGATACAATAGAAACAACGCTTCCTAATATCAGTTTTCCACATAAGGAGTTGTGGTCGCTGCCAGCGGGATGCTGTCTGGTGAGAAATGGGATACTGACTGGCAGGGGAGGTGGTACCAAGGCAGACCCCGGATCTGTGGTGAGGAAGGTCTGTGGATCCCTGCTTCCAAGGCTGTGAAGTTAACGGCAGGTAAGGAACGTCACCCTTCAAACACTTTCTCCTAAGCTGGGTTTTAACCTGAGCACATAAATAAGATCCTCACGAAGGACGATGAAAGCATTTGTTTAAATTAAATTTGTTTAAATTTCTGCCAGGAAATGCTCTAGACTGTAAGAACAACTTCTTCCGAGGGCTGCAGCGCTTGTCCCCACCTCCAAGAGCACTGAGGTGCCGAGTCCACGTGCAGCTGGAGCGGGGATCYGGAGCTCACCCCAGCCCTGTCCTAGCAGTCCTTCCATGCAGAAAGTGGGTTTCACAAACAGGATAAAGTACACGAGAAAGTGCAGGGTAATATACACATTTTTCACTAGCTAAACATCTAAAGTTCATGCAACGCATTTGAAAAAGTACTTCAAAAGCCCATAATAGGTCCATAGAAAGTCCTAATATACAGGCATTCATGCAGGAGAGAAATTCCTGAGAGTTATTTTTTTTTCTTGCAAAATTATTTCAAAAAGTCAAACCACCAGAGCACACGCGGAAGTAAATACATTAAAAAAACACCCTAATATTTGGACACATGTTGCCAGCTCAGTTCAAATTACTGAACTTCAAATAAACCCTCTTCTTTTGTATTTAATAGCAACGTCTCACCGGATTTAAGTCTGCTTCTACATCTATTTGTTGCTCCGGCTAAAGGTGGCCTCAGTTTTTAACGTCAGACGCACAGAAAACGTTTCAACGTAAATAAAACATAAAGCGCACAAACTTTCTTCCCCAAGGGAGAGGAACAGCGCCGTTTGGAAGCACAATTGCGTTTAGCTTTGAACTACTGGAGTGCCCAAACGGGTTCAAAGGGGGGCTCTCAAGGCCGCCCGGCTCCGAGGACCCTTGAGCGCAGCACCCACCTAAACCTGAGCGCAGATCTCACCGCGCCAGGCGCCGAACAAAAAACCCTCCCCGGCGCTTTAATCCCCGCGGCCCCAAGTGCTCCTGACTTTTTAAAGCCCGCTCTCCTGAAAATAAATAAATAAATCAAATAATTGCGGAGCATCAGTAACCAGATAGTATTCTCAAATTTCAGTGATCTAGTCAATGGAGCCTTCCGCCGTGCACCGTGCTCTGTTTCATGCAGTACATGGCTTTAGCCGGCCAAATCTTTTTTTTTTTYCCCACTGAATCAGTAGAACAGTGAAGATCTTGACTTCCCCCCCGCCTCATTTTTTTTTTTTTTTAAGCAGTGGCATATCAATGAGGCACAGATGTGTATTCCAACTCTGCATGGATGAGCACACTGTTCAATAGTGCTGGCTCACACGGTATCAGGGCAAGTTATCACTTCCCATGAAGGCACTCTTATCACCAGGGCCCAGAGAGGTGGCTGCAAATCGCAGCCTTTTTATTTTCAAGGCAGTTTTGCTGAACATTCAGGCTTCAAAGATTCACACTTCCAAAACTCTATAAGAGTTTGTGAACGCTCAATTTGCCAAAACTGTTTACAGTGTAATTGGGCACCGTACCTGTGTCCATGAGATAGCGAAGGCGCTTCTCCACCCGCGCGGCACGGGTGTCAATTTGCTTTTGCTCATTCTCTAGTGCTGCCAATTCTCCTACAACATACTGACTGGTGTCTTTGAACCCTTTCTGTTAAAGAGAACAAACAAGAAGAAAAAACATCACTTGTAACTTGCATTTTTCTTTTCCACAAACACTTAGTAAGGCACTTACCTAAACAGCCAAATAGCACGCTCGCAACCAAAAAGCTAACACTTACATTTCACAAACTTCACAATCTTGCCAAATGCCAGCATTTGTTTATTAAAACATACCCYTTTTTTTAATTATTTTTTTTCCTTCTCCTTTAGGAAGCATTTCAGAGTCTCCTCATTGATTCTGCAGTTTCTACCTATCAGGCTGCCTTTCTGAGATTTTTAGAATTTATGTCTAAGTACATTAAAGCTCCTGCAACCACGCACAATGCAAGGGGGAATAACCCAAATATGGTATTATTTAACGTGCCATTTCTCTTCCACTCGGTCCTCATTCAATTTTAAAGCACTAACTTGACAAGAAATAGCGTGAGCATCTCCATGGGCAATTAAAATGCGGCCATTTTTGGGATTCCCAACAAAGCCCAAAGAAGCTCCCTTGCCTTTTCAGCTCCTTGGGGTCAATCCTAACACAGACCCTCGATGGACCGACTCTAACCCCTCTCTGGCTGCAGGTGACTGCGTGGCTACACCGAGACCTGTGAAAACACTGCCCGTTCTGGTACCCGCGACTCCTACGCCGAGAGGCAGGGAGCCAAAGGGCTGCACGGGCGCTCAGGGGCACGGAGGGGATCCAACCCGCTCGGCCCGGCCCCTCYGGTTTGGTTAGTCCCGGCCCGAAGGCGGTCCTGGAAAGCCCGTCTGGTAAATCCCATCCAACCTGCTCCTTGTTTGGGTGTTGTGCAAGTGCTCATGACTCACGCTCAGCCCCTGCATCCAAAAACTTCTCCATCTCCTCTCAACCGGCCACACAAATCTCCAGATTGGTCCAACAAGGGCCACCAGTTTGGCTCTGGTAGGAGGGGATGGTTTGAGCACCCGTGTTTGACACCTGCAAGTTGTTCTCATGGGGCCCAACAACTTTCTTACACCATTTTGGYTCTATGGGGGCCGTGCAGGAGGCAGACAAGGCTGAAATACCATTTCTGAGGTATGCTTTTGCCTGAGAAGATGGGAAGAAGATATTACTCCTTCAGAATAATCCCATCTCCTTTTTGCTTCTGGTCAGTAGTAACCCTTCAGACCCTTGGTAAATCTTTTTAGTTRGAAAAAAATGGTGAATTGCTTCCAAGTTTTGTCTGTACTCTGTAAGGCAACACTTAAAACTACTGCTCTTTGGGAAGATTAAAAAAAAAAAAGGCTCTTTTTTGAGATGTATTTCCCTATTAGAGGCCAACTTGTTGCTCTAAGAASCACAGATACTTCAACTAGGCAGTTTCAATGTTTCTCTGCACACTTGGCCTGCAATTGCCAATTTAGCTTCATATTCCTGTGTGAGTTACGATTAATAATATTAATCACGTCAGCACATTATTGCAAATAAAGACACAGTCAAGTGATGGCTGAGAGAACGACGGGACTCCCAAGAGTAGCAATACGAGAAGAACTTTAAAGTTTGGGATGTGTGAATTTAAGCTTAATATGCCCCATTAATCAGTTCCTTCTTTCCATACACAAACTAGCCAATAGTATCAATTCAAATTTCAAGGGGAATCTTTTCTTACCTGTCATAGAGCCAAAACAACAAGAAAAAAAAACTACCTGAGAGCAGGAAGTGTGGAAAAAAAATCGGTCTGGGGAGTTGAGATGCAGCAATATACTGCCTTTCATCAACTCTAATTAATTGCAAATAGTATGAAAACTTCCCTAATGTCAGCATGCATAATTGTGAGCAATTGTTATTATAAGATGAAAAGAAATGCTGCGTCAGGCTGAAATATCCCAAGAGTTCATGTGTATCATCTGCATGTGTAATGTGAACTTACTGCAGCAGACCTTTCCAGCTCGGCACTAAAAATAACTGGAAGGTCCCTAAGTTGGATGGCTCGGCACGGATAGGAGAGCGGTGCAAAACCTCCCCTTGGCTCTAGCTTGCTTCAGCAAAAGCTACAAACGTGTTTCGATGAATCGTGGAGAGCAACAAGCAAGCACCATCCCAGGTCGTGTTGCGTTTTCAGACACAAAATTCAGGTTAAAACTTGTTCTTCCTGCTTCTGTCCCGCAGCTGTCCATCAAACCCAGCTTTCTCCCTGCGGTCTATCAAATATTTCCCTCACAAATCAATTTTACACATGATCAGCCCATACCCCTACTGAGCTGAACCTCCCCGTTAATTAAGTGAAGAAATTACCATATATATTATATTAATGCAAACATCATTCAGCTAGTAATTCACGGCTGATCTGGATAATGGAAAGGTTGAACACCCATTAACCCAAGCCAACAAAATGGGTTGGCTGAGAAATTCTAGCAGGTCTCATGTGACTCTTCCCTCTAACTGCAGCTCTGCGGTATCTGCTATTGTAATAATTAAAATCCTCCCGGTAGATCAATACTGGAATCTCTTTATGGGAAGTGCCCTGATGGAAATGTCTCAAGGAAGCTGGGGCTGTGGAACTCTGAAAAATTCATTTTTTTTATCTGACAATTATCACCACACTGCAGACTAATTCAACAGTGCRCCCCTCTCACTCTGCTTTGAATGCACTGGAGATTGACATCTAAAAAACCTAACATCTCATTTTAACAAATAAAGGCACTATTTCCACATACAGTTTGGAATTATCAGCAATCATGAAACCAGACAAAAAATTAATATACATTAAGCACTTCATCTTCTGATGGCTTCCTCTGAGTCTCAGTTATCGCAGCCTTCTCCTCATTTCCTCTCTTTGTATCTTCCTGTATTGATCTCTGCCTTTTCATCTCTTGAAAAAAGAGGAAAGACATGTAAAATTATTATAAAGCTTGATATTTATGTATTGAAATGTGGACTTACATTATCAGCTTGAAATATATTTATTGTTACACATTATTCAATCACGAGATGGGAAAACATGGCTTCAGTTTGCTCCTACCTGGTCTGTTCTCCACATACTGACTGAACGACTGGAGTTGCGTTTTCCTGACGGCCGAGTCCTTGCCAAACACAACGGGATTCCTGAAGCGCTCGGCACGAGGCTCCTCCGCGCCGTTCTGCTAGGGAAACAGGACACACAGGAGCGCCTTTTGTTCCCCAAAGGGAAGCCCCGGAGCGGCGAGGTGCCTTTCACCCGGGGACGGGACGCAGGGGGTGCACAGGGACTTTGGCTCGCACGGGATCGGTGTCAGCTGCCGAAGGAAGGGCAGGAGCGCCCAGCTTCCCTCGGTCCGCTCTGCTCCTCGGGGCTCCCTTGTCCCTGCCCGGCGCCTATTTTGGGGCGGAAACGGTCCTTTTGTAACTTTGCTYTGCAAAGCACGCCGAGCCCCCGAGCACACGATGGCAATCGCAGGGAAAGCGCCGGGGTTGGAGCCCTCCCTGCTCCCTGCTCCTGCTCCCTGCTCCCTGCTCCCTGCCCCGCGCACAGCTCTGGCGCTTGCTGCCGTCCCCCAGACTTGTACGACAAGAAGAACTAGTTTCTAATTTTATGCCCATTGAGATAAACCACTAAGGCTGGATGAAGGCTAAAAGGGAGGATTATAATGCTACCCCACTGAACTGCATTTCATCAGCTATAACTTTCCAAAGCCAGATTTGTAAGTAAGCCCTTTCCAGCGCAGGAAACTACAATTATCTTTTCCAGGGCTTCCYATGTTAATACTGGTAACAAATTCAAATGGGTCTATCAACATGAAATATCCCAGAAGACTGAACCACCGCGGTGTGTGGAAACTGCAGATACCGAGGGGCTGTGTACCAAACAAATATTTCATTTTATACCTAATCTTTTATTATTTTTATTAAGTGTTTTGAAAGTAAATAGGGAAAGGCTAAGATGCATGACTAATAGCTAAGCCTGCTGAATGCTGAAACTGGTTATCAAAAGCTACCAAGACTTTGCCCTTCCTCTGCATTGAGACAATCAGTAATGAGGGAGTTCTCCAATGGCCTATTCTCTAGCCTCAAGGAGGCCGGGGATACACAATCCTCCAGGGAAGGTAACAGTTTATCCTTTTCCACAAACACAGAATGCCTCATTTATAAACGTGTAAACTGCATTTTATTAAAAAACAAATCCAAGTCAATGCCCGGAGCTCCCCGCGAACAGATGGGCACCATATATTCCTTAGAAAGGCCTTTTTGGAGCTCTCCCTTCACAAGGCGGGCGCGGAGGGAAGCTGCTAAGTTGCACCTTTTGCAGCAGTAACTTAAAAAAAAATAGCTAATGCAGAAGAAAGCTTCTTTTTTATTATTTTTTTAAAGAGAAACAGCATTCTCTGCAGGTTAGCTGATAGCGAATTGCCCTAATGGAGGTGCCCTGGGCATCATTTATTGAATTACGCTTAAAAAAATAAAAAGTATTGCTCATATCATAAGGATGGCTTTTGAGCTGCAGGAACCGGGCTGCTATGATTCTGGCTAAATAAAAGGGTGTTTCCTGTTATTTGCACAATAACCATTTGACAGGCTAAACTRGAGTCTTTACCAAAATAAACAAACATGGCTAATTTTTTTAGGCCTGGCAACATGGCAAAATATCAGTGTGATTAGCCAGCAAATCCCATTTTAAGAAACCTTTTTATGACCAGGGACTTCTGCCACTTTACAAATGTATTCCTCTAAGCCCACTAATTCAGTTAGCCTTTTCAATCCATTGTATTATTCTTGGGCCAGCTTCATTTTGCATTAAATCCACTGCGGAAAGCTAAATTGAACGCAAAAATCAGACTTGATCCAGGCTTCCCTTTGTTCCAAGATAGAGACCGAAAGTCCTCCGCTGCTGCCACACACTTTCATCACCAATTTATAGGAACCGACAGTGTAAGGGAAAAGCAATGAAAGTCATTGTTTTGGGACTTCAAAGCATCTCTGTATCTGGGGAAGGAAATCCTTTCAGTCAGCAGTGCTTTCCCCGCAGACTGCAGGTGGGTGAAAAGTTATACCCAACTGCAAGTGCCCCAGAGCCATAGGGATATTCATGACACACACGGGCTATTTAAAATAAAATAAAAAAACAGGAGTCAGAATGCAAGGGGCCTAATTAGAAAAACGAAAGGGCAAATTGGTTGGTGTGGGACTTTGGTGGAAGCGGTGAGCGCTGAGGAGAGGCAGAGCAAGCGCCCGCACCGCGTCCCCATGGCTTTATTCTCCCCGAGCCCCTCATTGTCAAGGACGCGGGCACGTATGTGTTTAAAATGTAATGCGGCTTAATCTGAATGGGGAAAATCCAGGGGGTCAGGCTCGGAAGGGGAGCAAAGCCCCGAGAGCCCAGGGCGGCTCTCATGGAGCGGCGAGAACTTTGCCGCTCATTTCATGGGGAGCAGGACAGAGCCTGGGCTTCCTTGCCCATTTGAGCAACAAGCTCACCAGGAAACAACTCAGAGAGCGTTTTTGTATCCGCTCCTATTCTGCCAGACAATTACCAGCACCGAGATCAGAAAAATAAATGGGAAAAGCGTTGATTAATCAACAGAAAAAGCCTGGTGCACAGCAAAGCATGCGGCCGCGCCGCCGCCGTGAAGATTTGCTGCATTTCTTGCTGTGAAGGATTTGATAAGAAATCATTTTCCTCATCACGAAGTACACAACAGCAATGAGAGCACACAGGTACTGAGACAAAAGCATTAATCAAAACTTACCTTAACGTCTTGCTCCGAGCTATCAGTTACAGCTTTCTGAGCAGCACTGGAGAGTGAATTTGCCACCTGTGGCTGAGCTTCTAGGAGCTTCTTCAGCTTCAAATCCACCAACTTACTGTTTTGTTCTGCTAAATATGCAAATACCACATACAACAGAGTGAGATGCATTTAAATGCAGAGTCCCTACAACAATGTGTCACTTTAAAAGGTAGATTTCCTTCCCTTCCCTCTCACTTCAAGCTCAAATGTTAAAACTGGAAGAAAAAAAACATCTTCCTTTTTTTTTTTTGTGGGTCAGATTGATGTAGATTTACGTAAAGCATGTTACACGGACAGATGTTTTCTAAATTTCCTCAAAAAACATATGTCAAGAAAAAAAGGCAGCACTTGTCTAAACAAGTAGGAACTATTAGGTGCTTCCAGACAGCAGAAGAAAAACACAGAAACGAGCCAGCATTTGAGACCTGACTCCCAAGCTGCGCGCACATATACATCCACAAACACACATAAAGACCCGTTTATTTTAACACGACACGACACAATTCATCCCGCGGCGTAAGCGCTGATAACCCCTCGAGTTCCTGATAAATTCATTTAGTGCGAACTCATCCTAAGGCTCCTTGGCAGCGCTGCCCGGCCTCCCAGCCGCGGTACCGAGGGCGGCCGCTTTCTAGGGATACTTCACCAGGAGTTATGGAAGGCCCCAAGCCAAGATGGCCGCAAAGTGCCTCCGAACTCCACCTAAGGACGTGGCGCCTGAACGTCCCGGGACGTGGCGCCCGGAGCGGGACGCGCGGTGACGGAGGCCGGGCGGTGACGGAGGCCGGGCGGCCTCCCGGCCGGCACGCCCGGCGCGGCCCGGATGGCGGCGCGTGCAGGGACACGCCGGCCCGGCACGAACATCATGTAACCGCTGTGATATAAGAGGGTCACGTTTCAGCGGCGGCGTGCGCGGCCGCCGCGTCACACGGGACAGCTCGGGGAACGTTTCCACAGGGGGACATGGAGGGAATTGAGAAATCCATCACCGCAGGCAGTAGCCATCCCAAAGGTGAAGAGGCCCTTGCACCTTTGCAGGGAATGTCCCCAAGAGACTCGGCCTTCAGTAAAACTTGCTAGGAATTGGCTGGAATCCACTAAAAACTCAACACCGGTGTCCGTCCTCTTCCTCATTTGTGTGCACGGTGCTGCTTGTCCTCCCAGCTGAGGTGCAAACTGACCTTTCCCAAGGGCTTCCCCCTTTTCTTCTCTTTCCTGGGTGGCTTCCCATGGCAGGGATGAAGTGTTGGTAGGGGGGTTGTATCCCTGAGAAGATACCTCTCAGGAGAAAAAGGCCTATGGAAATAAATGCTTGCAAGTCACTGGGACTAGATGCCAGGAATATTCATTTACTGGTTTTCTATTTCTCCTAATATGAACCAGGATTTATTGGCAAATCATTTGACTGGACTCTGCTCTACAGGGGCCTAATGCAGATGCTGGAAACACTAAATTTACTTACTGAGTTGTTTGGGAATGCCCAAAGAAACAAACAAACCAAAAGGACACGACTCAAAATTGTTGCACGGAGGAAAAGACCAGCTCACGAAGGCAACTGAGGGCACGGAAAGCGGCATAAATGCTGCTGGTAGGTTCATTYACAAGGAGCAAATACTACATCAAGGGTGTTGGCTTAATGCATGCCCTTGTCATGAGCAGAACTGAGACAGGGGATGCCAGGAAAAGCTGCCTTTTGCTCCCTCTTGCCCGTGGCCGCCCCGGGCGCTCGGGGCTTCTCCAGGGACAGGTCAATCTGGGACAGGGATGGGTCAATCTGGGACGGGTCAATCTGCTGCTCGGGGGGCTCCTTGTGGCGCTGCTTATTTTCCACTGCAACCCAAAGCAAGCACGAAGCAAAACGTTCACAGATATCACAAGTAAAGGGGGAAAAAGGGGTCTGGAAAGGCACAAATTAATAGTTAAAAATTACGAAAGAGAGAAGCAGCACATCAGCACTGACGACGACGGCGTGTTAGTCATGCAAAATACACAAAATAGCCATTATTTAAATTACCCGTTGAATCAAGGTCATTTTCTAGGTTAGTAAGCTCATCTCCACCTCCAGAAAGAGGGCATTCGGGAACCTCCTCGTTAGTATCTATCTCAATATTATCCTCATCCTCAGCCTCATCTGTAGGAACATACAGCAGGAAGGTTAGTATTTTCTTTATGTACATGCACGTCCATCATTAAGAACAACGACCGCTTGGGAGAAAGAGCTGAGCAGGGCTACAACAAAAAATGCAAAACGGTTAAATAAGGCTGCGAGGGGCTTTCTCTCCGTGCGCTCACGGAGGGATCTTTGAGCCGACGCAATTCAATGTCCACGCAGGGGGCTCCGCTGGAGGCCTGGCACAAGAAAGCTCGAGGCCGGCCTCCGTGGAGGATTTTCTGCGGGCTCAACGTCTGGCTAACTCTGAAAAGGCCACGTGCTTCTCCTTAGCCCTCGGAGCGGAATGATTTCCCCTGGGACGCTGCTGGCGCCGGGGCCCRCGGCAGGAACGGGGAGCCCGGAGCGGCTGTCCCTGCGGGAAAACTCTCCCACCGCTCCGGTTTTCCTTGTGAGGGGAGCCCAGGCGGTGCCGGCCGCGCTCCGGAGGCGCTGCCAGAGCTGCCCTGCTCTGAATCAACCTATATGCATTTAAAATAAAACAGCAATTGTAATTACTCTTTGTATTTTTACAGGATTCTCCCTACCGAGTTTCCCAGAGCGGCTTAGGAGTACCACTTGTAAATCGGCCACATAATGTTTTATGTAGCTGGCGATTACTATTATTATAATTAGGATGACGATGTGGGTAAATTAAGGCACAGAAAGAGTAAGTGACCTGAGGAAGATCAAATGGTAAGTGCTGAACCGTGAAGGAGATCACAGAAGCAGCCCTGACTCACATTTTCAATACAAAGAAATAATTAAATTAAACGACATCCATAAAAGCTAGATTAATACTTCCAAAACATGTAGTTGCATTGTATTTATTCATTTTTAGCCTCACACCAAGTGATATCTACTCTTGTTCAGACTCATAGGCACATTTTTTTCCTATGTATGTACTGTACGCACGGCTGTAAAAATGACTAGAGTATAGCAGGAGAAAGAATACACCTATATATTAACTGAAAGGTGCTTTGAAGAACTGCCTGATAGGAATAAATGCTCTTTATGACTGCATGACTTTTGTGCACCCGTTCCCCATTGAAACTAAAAGTATCCTAAATATCCTAACTGGAAACTGTGATCCCAAACACCAGCAGCCTGAGGAAACGTGGACCCGGACCGGCCCTTGACACTCRCTGGCCCTCTCTGGAATACGCGGGCCTGCACTCGGCATCCGTGCCACTGAAGCACACGTTAGGCAGTTGCTTATTTTGTTTCCTTCTTTATGCCCCTAATTCCCATTTTAGGAGGCTGTTTGCTGGTTTTTTTCCCTTTTTTTTTCCCCGGCAAGGTCGGCTCACGAGCAGCAGCCACCMCCAAGCGCTCGGAGCGCCCAGCGAGGCCGCCGGATACCGAGGGAACGYTTAGGCGAGATTATTTGATTGTCCTTGATTTAATTTAATACAGAGAGAGGAAACCRGAGGCGCTGGCTTTGACACCACTGTTTTAGACAACAAAAGGGATGGGAATGTTGATTTGTCCCTTGTGTCAGATMCTGACCTGACCTCATATCTCATTTGAAGTTGGCATGTCTCTGAGTGGAGTACGACTATCCTTGCTCTCTACAAGGAACCGTCAACTGCAAGCATTCCTTGCAGGAAATTTCCAAAGTTTTCAAATATTTTTTAAAGCTGACAGATCCTTTGTTCCAAAACACCCCGGTTTTCTTCAAGTCCAAAGTTCTTCCATGGTAATAAAAATGAAAGCATGTTTTGGAAGCATGTTCCAACACGACTTTGTAATTATAAGCAATAAAAGGAATAATGTGATGAAGAGGTAACAGATATCTAACAGAAGAACAAAATTAAAGACATATAATCAGGCCAACAGCTAAACAACACGGGCCATCCTCTACACAGCCCGACTGACAAGAGCCTGACACAGCTCAAAATAAGGTTTTCTGGGAAGTACGTGGGCCTGCCAGATCATGGGTGGAAAAAAAACGATCCAGAGCAATTTTAGAGCTAAAAAATCCTGCTGCTTTTTAGATGGGGCAGAACCCTTAAAATCTGCAGTTAAACTGACCTTCTCCTAAACTGGTTTAGACACGTCAGTGTATGAAGGAATCGCACGGGACTATTTCAGCTTCTGGACAAAGCTAGAAAGGAACAATCTGCATTAGGAGGTGAGACTGTGTGGAGGAGGACATGTATGGAGGAGCACACGTAAGCTGCCACTGCTGTTGCATAAGCAATGCTGGTTCTGCGGGGAAGAAGATGTCTTCAGGCTCCGGGACTGTCACCAGGAGAGCCTCCAAGCCTGTGCACACTTGTATATTAAGTTTATTTACTTTCAGGTAAAGTKAACTCCTGCAGAGTTCACTCAAAGGCTCCAGGATGTGACCAAGAGAACGTGAACAGCCATGAAGAAAGCAAAGGTGGGGAATGGAAACATGGGGAATGGAAGAAACGTGGAGCTGAGACAACGGTTCATGTGCACACGAGACCAGATGTCAGGACAAGGAAGCGCAGCGGCCACTGCCAACAGAGGGAATATTTCCTGTCAAAAATATGAAATTGAGCTTTCTGAGATGCAGCTCTGTGTCTTTTGACCAGCTTTTGTCATTGATTCCAACATTTTTAAAGCATTTTTTTTTCTACATTTGGTCCTACAGCACATTTGGATGGTTCTTTTTCTGCTTTTTCTCTCCCTTTTTGCCCATTTGGGGCACTTTTCTCCCCAAAGCCCAGTGTGGTTGCCTCCCTCTGCAGCCTAGTGGCCACCTCCAGATACCGGCCACTTCCTCACAAACCTGTCATCTCACRTAAGGGGTGAGATGGGCCAGAGAAGGAAGCAAGCACACTGCCCACATGCTCAGGGAGCAGGGACAATACCGAGACAAGATGCCAATTCCTTGGCCCCCTCGCTGTTGGGAAAAGAGAGGGTATTTGGATTCCTATCTTGATACTGTCCCTGGATCCATCTCAAGGCATTTGCTTATCAGCCTAAAGCTAGTAGGACATCTAATAAATTTGAAGCTGCCACCCTGAACCCTCTGGCTGTTGGCAGAAAGAAGTATTTTCCATCTCACATGCCAARTAACCTCCTGAAAAAGGCTGCATTTTGTAGAAAAGGATGCTGCTTGTCCAGGAAAGTTTCTCTTTGCCATCGGCATTTGAGCTTCTCAGACCATGATTAAACAAAGCCTGTAGCAGAGGATGTAGCACCAGTGCCAAAACACAAAACTCTCAATGAGAAATATAGAAATATTGCAAGAGAGCAGATCTTCACCAGCAATATGAGCAAGAAATTAGTCTTTAGAATTAGTCTTCAGTCTCCAAAGTCCAAACGTTGATTTTTCTTTTTTCTGGAAGAACTGATTTGAGGGAGAGAAAAATGCTTTGGTACCTTCTCTTTTTGTAAATCAAAATGTAGCAACCAATGCAGAAGAGTTTGAGAAAAACAACAGCCAACAGAGCTCCGGAGACACAGGATATTCCTGTAAACTTGGCTTTGGGCACTGTACAGGAACTGTGCATGGCTACAGGCAGCAGCAGAACAACTACACGCGAATGCAACTAGGGTAATATTCACACGGTCATAAAGAAGAGACATTGTGCATTAAATCCTAATTTGCACTGGAAATCAAGAATTGAAAGAGCAAATCAGAAACAGGTATGTTTATTTGGATTATAAAGTGCTGGTGTAACTTCACAGAGCTATTCCATTTTTTGAAGAATGGATTTCTCGAGTAGAGATGGAGAYTAGTATATGACCTTATGAAGAGTGTTGTGGAAATACGTCAAAGATGGGCCATAAAGAAAGCTTTGAGAGAAGGAACGAGGACAAGCAAGTGCCGGAATACTCACACACGGGCAGGAAAAGAGCACGGGGGAGATGGGGAATGAACACTGCAAGGCCAASAGGAGTCTAGATAACTTGGACAAAATACTGCGTGAACCAAGAAAAACCCACATGGAAAATGCAAACCAGGAGATAACGCCACAGATGAAAAGGTGTGATGTTACCCGAGACAAAGCCCAGCAGGTTGAATGGTGAAATGGTGAAAACTTCAGGTAAGCTGTTGATATTCATACTATCTGTTCTTTAACAGCACTGAAGCTTGCAGTGCATATGCAGGCATCTATATGTACTTCTATATGGATGACAGACCTGCGTATCGGCTGCAGAGAGCAACGGGAGGCAGAGCTTGGCACAGTCTGCACACAGACATCCAGATGTACCAAAAGAGGGACAGAATTTGCCAAAATTCACTATGGAGCAATGGAATGAGAGGGCAGGCAGCCTTTGCATGAGTTGCATCAAGTTTTACTGCCGTGGCAGGGTGGGAGGCTGCTGAAGAAACAGCAAGATACAGATATTTAGAGAAATGAAGAGAAAGCAGTGGGGCAGATCCCCTGAAAGCAATAATCCCCCAAACCTGCCCATGGCAGGTTTGTTAACTAGCCTGAAGAACCTGAACTGTGGCCARCCCAGGGAATCAAATGCTCTCCTTGGTGGGAGAAGAACAGCTCGGGACTGTTTGCACAAGTGTTAAGCACACAGTTCCTCTCAGACAGTTGATAAATCTAAGAGCCAGCAGCAACATTGAGAGGACATTCTGCTCAGGGAAGGCCAGATCTTAGAGAATGTCAACTCGTGGCACCATTTAGCCACACTGCAAGCGACTTGCTGAGGCCTCAGAATGTAATTCCCAATTTTGAGCACTTGGGATGTGCACAAAAAGCCTTACCTGCAGGGAAGACGTGGCAGCAAGAGAAACAGCGATGGACAAGCAGGATAAAACCACGATGGGGAATCAGTAGGATGGGGATCAGTAGGATGGGGAATGACCAACAGTGAGAAGGATGAAGAACATGGTGGTATTCTGAACATACAGGCATTGGGCTATTTCGCTCCGTGACCTGTCCAGCTCAACAAGGAACTCGTTGATCTCYCTGGCTGATCATCCCCATGGGCTCTCAGAGCAACTGGTAAAACACAGATGGGATATACTCTTGCATGTTTAACAGAAACAATACAAACAGCTCCCTTTGTCCTCTCTTTTTAAGTACCTTGGGGTGTCCTTTCTTAAGTACTTTGCGGTATCCAAATACTTGGGGGTATTCTTTCAAAATGTGTGTAAGTTCAGAGAGCTTTTACAAAATGCCTGATTGCCCATCAATGTCTGAATGTGCCTATTTATCAACAAGCAAGAGCATGTTGGCACCATTGATTTACTGGGCAGAGAGAAGAAGAAAACCGAAGACCAGAGCCAGAGACACATGCAACAAACTGCTGTTCTCTGTGGCATTATGTAGGATTTTAGTACGCAATAAGAACATACTTAACATGTATGTAGAAATATATATAGTAGAGAAAAAAACATTTCACTGTTGAACCTACACGTGCTGCAAATATAAAGCTGGATTTCCCTAACTCTCTGCTTTACAATTGCATGTTAGTACGAAAACCAGAATTTCCTCTTGGAATATGTAGGAGGCACCGAAAGAGGAAGAAGCCTGTACAGAAATATGTGTTCAGCACCCATTTGAGTGACACTACATTACTGCTGCTCGCAGCACTGGCAGGTATATGAATTGTAATGACATTTCAAAGTCAGTTTAATAATATTACAGCAATATTACAACCCAAAACCTGTAAAGGCAAGTGGTACGTCRAAAGACTGCCATTAAAATCAAAAGGTTATTGCTTCCACCTCCCCTGTGCCGTCTTTCAAAGAGTCTTTTAGAACATATTCAATAAAAAAAATAAACTTCTTGGGTATTCCTAATGTTCTTTTCCCCAAATTCCTAAATAAAAMACATCTATTCTGTTCCTAAATAAAACATATCTTGGAGGGACTGTAAGCAAMCGTCAGGAAATTCCAAAAATTATGGGTAATGGCAAATCCATAAATAACAGACCCCTACCTGCCTCACATAAATACCACTTCTCTGCAATCTCATACACCCCTGTCTTTTAATTGCTGGAAACGAAGTGATAAAACCCTGATTGGGCAAACTTACCTAGGGCCAGTCTTTTGATATGTGCACCTGATGCCCAGTGTGAAGTGTGAACAAAAGCGACGCCCCGAAAGGTCCCCTCTGGCTTCCAGGTTGCCATAGGAATAAGCCAGGAGGTTCCTTCACTCACCTCCAGATGCCTTTGACCTTTCTTTCAACTTTTCTGCAGCCATTTCGGCGTAGCTGGGAAGTTCTGACATCTTCACTCCAGATCGAGCTTCTGCTATTAGCTGCCGAGCTCGCTCTCGCAGCTGCCGCCGCCGCTCTTCATCCTGCTGCTAAGATATATTGAACAGTTGCCAACTCAGTAATTGACAGAAATGCAATTTCATTCCCAATCTGATCATCATGATAGGGACTGGTTTACAGCGCGGTGCTTGGCCCACATTATAAATAGGATGTTCCGTATCAGTTGGGTGTCACACCACAATTTTTAAAGGCATCCACGGATCGGATTTTTCTTCCTCCCCCCCCCCCCATTTTAAAGCATCCCCCAAATTATTATTGCATTAAAAATTATTTGCAATTTCAAGCAGCCATAAATCAAGTCCTATAAAACCAGGCTGATTAAAATGATTCTCTGAAACTTTGGGTTCAAAGTTGCAGCTACCAGAAGTTTTATTGTGGCTGTAAAAATGGTTGTAGTTGAATTAATAGTTGGAGTAGCGTTTTATCAGAGCTGAAATGAGAAGCCAGATGCTGCTCTTGGTTACTCCATTATCCAAGCTGACTTCAAAGGGTAAAACGACATCCAAAGTGAGGCACAGAGAGGGATCTAACCCTTGGACTTCAGGGGATAAATCTTCTTGAACAAAAAAGGAAACAAATGAGCATTACGGAAAGAACAATGGATTCCAGAGCAAAAAATGACTTTTCCTTGTTGGAAAAAATGCACTATTTGCACTATTACTGTGGGTTCGCTCATTAATTAAAAAGATCAGATGATTTATTCTGGTAATCAATCCAGATAACGCTTATCTACTAAAACCTGTAATTACATCAGGATATTAATATTTCCGTTTTGTAAATGAAAAAAAATTATTGCATGRCATATTGGACATGACTAACATGCCACAGCTAAAAAATATGGATAAAAAATATACCCGAGCCTATCTATGAAGAGACATTAAACCATAAAGGAAGGAGTGTTTTAGTCCTAGTCTTAAACAGTTGAATTTTTCGGGGTTTGGGAGAAGTTTACCCAACTGTCCCCCTCCTCCTTCCCAACATCACAGACCCTCCTAAAAGCAACAAAGTCAGCACCTGGYTTTAAGTCCAATTCATCTAAAACGTCCCGTTTTCGGTATAACACACAGGATAAACCCCGCTGTTGACACTCGCTGTTGGCCTAAACTAAGCGGAACGGAGCAAAACGCCTCATTTTGAAGAGCGCGGCTGGCCCCTTTCCCACCCAACCAGATCCCCAACGCCACGCACCTGCACCTCTTGGGAAGAGCTGCTCCTAAGTGCTATTTGGCTTAAGCGGCCGTTAATAAAACAAGCCCAAAATACTAATTAGGAGCACTGCAGCCATTTCCATGCAAATTGTTTGTTTGTAGCTATTTACTCAGCCCTGTGCCGGGCACAATGGCGCGAATGCAAACGCCGCAGTCCCCAGGCAGCCCTAATGGGACTCTCTGCTGAGAACCATTAGCCCAGAGGTGCGCGGGAATTCAATCCTGCAGCAGCCAGATTTAGCCTCATTAACAGCTTGCACGGGCAGGTTACAACTCATAAAACCCCACGGTAAACACGGCGTATGGACACAGCGCAATATCCAGCGCCTGAGTGACAGCTTCCCTATCAGCTCCAGCTTTGCTGCTCCGGCCCTGCCGCCTCCTGCTCATCCAAAGAGGTTTTTCCGAGCSCTTCCCGCTAAAGTCCCTATCCGACGGGCAAGCCCAAAGCTGCTCCGGCTCCTAGGCACTCTGATGGAGCGCCCTGATTTAATTCAYAGCCAGCTGACACGGCACCCAATTTTCTTTCAGCCCACGGTATTTGGTAGCATTAATTGCGTGCAAGTTTACACGGAATCGAATCGGATCTTCAGTTCCTGGCGAACTTGGGTCTTTGATTTAAGGGACTTTTCAAAAGCAGGGYGCAAAATTTGCAGCGAGATCCCTGGCAGGTTTTGTGCCCGAGAGTTTCCCCTTGCTGGACCACAGAGCTTAGAAATAAACCCGGCTACAATTTGGTGACAAAACTGCCATCCCCGGCGGTATTAGCATAGTCATTAACATCCCGGGGATCTCCAAGCAAACAGATTATGCGCCGTGTGTGTGTGCTGATTAAGCCAATCACCACCGGCGGATAAGAGAAAAGCGGCGCATTTATTGCCGAGATGCAATTCCTGCATCYGGGCTGCCCATCGCCGGCCTCGGAGGGAAACCTGCCCGGAAGGGGCCGACAAGTTGAGACACGGGGAAAAGTCCGGCGGTTATTGCTGGAGTTACCGAGAAAATGCAGATTCRTGGAGCGGTTACCTAAAATGCAAATCTCCCCGCGGGATTTTGGAAAGCAAAGGGTGAGGAGCAGTTACAGAGGCAGGAACCAGCTAAACTGCCTGAGGGGGAAAAATAAAGGGGAAAAAAGACGGGTTCAAACGCAGCAAGAACAGACCATGCACAGCCACGCACAGCCACTTTGGGCCCAAGGGAGAAAACGGGCCACATTTCCCCCGCTCCGACCCACGGGGCATCCGAGTTTATCCTGTTCTTTGCCCCCGAAGACTTGGGACCGGTCTAAGAATCCGCCCCGCGGCTGCACCGCCAGCAAAACTTCCCCTTTTAAGGGCAAACTCTTCAGGAATAAGTAATGTAATTCCTTGTTTCCCTGCTATAAAAATGTATTGGTATGCAGTTTTTATATTTCACAGTTCACCGCCATCTCGGCAAGCCGTCTTCCACTGCTTCAATGGTGCTCCTTTTAATTTTATCCTCCTTAGTCCTAGTAATTAAAGTGATCAGCAGTGGCATCCCAACGGCTTTGACACAGCTACAACCCCCCCGAGCCACCTTCTGCTTTTAAGGGGAGCGGGGAGAAAGAAAGGCTGGAGCCTCCGTGCCCGGGAACAAGGAGCGCGAGCTCCTCCAAGGCCCAACTTCATCCAATTGTCCTGTGAGGAGGCCCCGGCCTCCTAAGAGGCAAATGAAGCTGGTTGCCCTTAGGGGGTCCTGTTTGTTCTCGCCGCCCACGCCAAGGACTTGGCCAAGGGAGCCCTGGGCTTGGGCCGGCTCTGCAGGTCGGCGATGGGCAACGAGGGGGCAAATGCGGCCGCCGAGCCCCACGTGTGACACGGGTGGAGGCTCTGTGACCCACAGGACGCCGCGCTGGGGTCTCCGGTGGCCCTTGGGCAGCGCCRAGGGAGCAGGGAGCTGAGGAGGGCGACGGCATCGCCTCCCCGCGTTGCGCGTTTAAAAGCAAAACTCCGCAAAAACAAAAGTTTAAGAGCAGTTTCACACGAGGAGCTGGTCCTCACAGGCAGCAATTTGCCCGGGCGGGAGCTGCACATGCCCCCACGGCCACCCGCTTCGTGGGGTGACGGGAAGGACGTCCCGGCAGAAAGGAGAGGGGCTCGGGGCCTGTCCRGAGGCCGGGATTACCCCCACGCACCTATTCAGGGCGCCCGACGCGGATGGGAAACGCGGGAAGCACACAACGTTACAAGGTCTTCCAAAGGCGCCCGCCGTTGGGGCAGGCTGGGCTTTACCGTGACCTCCATCGGCTCTTGTTGGAGTAAATAGGATTTGGGATGAAACATTAAAAGTGTTTAGCGGATCTTTTCAGGGCGTTTCAAAACTTTTCTTGTGGTGGTTTATAATATAAGCGGACATGCTTGTAAATGGCCACACCTGCTCGTTTCTCTGGGGATGTCCCGAGCTCGGCTTTTGCTAACAAAGAAAGGACCCGGGGAAAAAAAATCAGCCTTTCTTGTTGCAAAACAGAGTGGAAAGTCAAAATCTTTCTCAAGTTTGCCCCATCTGGTCAGATTAAATCGCTGATGGCCCCAGGGACTGTGTTTATGCCACCAGTTCAGAAGAGCTCAACACACCCAGGTAGGGAGCAAAAACACCAACGAGGAGGGCAGATGCGGGTGCTGCAAACAAAGGTGACCTGGGCTGGCATTTTTGTGCCTCCTCACGTCTATTTTAGTAGGAAATGATCAACGGGGAAAGGAGAGACATCAACATGCYGGCTCTTTTCCGCCTTCTGCCTGCATCAGCTCCTCCAGTCCCCACAAAATCACGCGGAGTTGGAAAATCCCGGGCATGGAAGGAGATCACAGAGGAGCCCAAGCGGCTCTGCCAGGCAAAAAGCAGCTCCCGGGCTGCAATCCCTGCGCCACTGAGGGAGGAGGCAGAAAGAGCCCAAGGAGCCTGAAGTCTAAAACTGGAGGAACTGCAAAGCTGCCTCTTTCAGAAAAAATAAAAATAAAAAAAGACCCCAAACTCACAGGAAAACAGGGATGYGTGACTGCAAAAATGGAAAAGGTCTCTGTAAATCTGGGCAGTATTTTTAAAGACACGCTAGCCACCAAAAAAAAAAAAGGGGGGGATTTTTTTTTTCCCAATCTTGCTTTGTCCTGAAAAACCTACAATTCATTTGGTGCAGTATTCACAGCGTGAAGAAGGCTGGCTTTAGAGAAATAACCCACCGAAAATGTAATCCCTTGTGTCGCTGTGAAATTGATAAATTCTTAGTTTACCGAAAGAAAAAAAAAGCAAGAAAAAAAAAAAGAAAAAACATATATGAAAAAAAAAAAATGAATGGCTGAGTAAGTAAGTATCACCTTGTGCTACATCCAAGGCCTCTTGCTGGTTGTCTGGCTGCTCTTTTGTAGGCAAAAAGGAGCTGAACGCTCTCTGGCTCCTTAGATCTGGCCCAACAAATGCACTGCCAGTCATGCACATGGATCCAGCTTAAAACCCAGTGTGAGCCTAAAAGAAGCTAGTCAAACTGGCACCTACTCATGCAGAAGGAGATAGATTTGTCATGACAGGCTGATTATTCAATGTAAAGAAACAGTTTAGCTTTTCTAATCTGGTACAAATACATCTTTCTCAGAGAAAAAAGTAAAAGGTCCAGCAGTTCAAGTATTTAAAGCGAAGAAACCAACAAAAAAAAAAAAAATTGTAACGTCAAAGTGAACCACAGCTATTTGTGCGGGAGCGTCGTGCAAAACAGCCCAGCAGTTCTATTCAGATAAATCAGATTGAGCCCATTTAACCCTTTGGGCGCTTCGCCCGCGTGTGCTGCTCCGCGGGGCCATCGTGCAGCC